TCCATACCAATTTTTGTGAGTTTATTTTCTCAGAACCCAAGTCCATTACACACACACACACACACAAAAAAAAAAAAAACATACCAATTTTTGTGAGTTTATTTTCTCAGAACCCAAGTCCATTACACACACACACACACAAAAAAATATATATATATATATATTTTCTCATTATTCAAATCAGTTTTCCTCTAAGTTAATTTGGATAAGTGGGGCTTTATTGTATAGCTATTCCTAAGTGGTTAAATTGATTATAGGGGAAAAAGTAGTTCAAGCAAAACAATTAAGAAATTTCTGTTTTAAAAGAATGCTGTTAGATGAGCGTGTTTACTCAGCACTGAGTGTAGGTAGGCATATACTTATTGGTCATTTATTTTTTAGGTAATTTTCCCTTCTGCCTTATTTTCCAGACAGGATAAGTATTTTACATTTCAATTATCTATATATGTATTTGAGATACAAAGTAGCTGCTGAAAATTCTGTTTAAATTGCCTTTTTACGAGCTATAGAATTAAGAAATTTAATTACCAAGATATAACCTGATGTCTAGGATGGTCAAATGAAATAATATTGATAGCTGTCTATTTTGTGTGCTTCTAAAAATCTTTCCCCCTCTTCTGTTGTCACTTTTCAGTATTCTTTGCTCTTGTTCCCTCATTTTCCTATACATTTAAATTGATTTTGTGTTTTCTAACAGTGGCTGAATATAGTGCTATAGCTTTATCTGAAGTTGCTCTCTCAATAGTCTTCTAAATCACTTAACATAAAAGATGCCAGCATATATATTTTTAAGAGCACACGTTGAGCAAGTGGAACTGATGTGAAGGCAACATCAATGAAGCAGGACTGGTCTCTGTTTTAGTCCCCAGAGACTATAATTCAAAAGGTAGTTGACTTTATTTGCTGTGGTTGACAGCTTCTTCTCAGACTACTTGAATAAATTTAAGTATTAATATGCTTCCTGTCTATTTAAAGAGAATTACTGTTTTATCTGCCTCAGGAGACTACTTTATTTCCAGATTTAACTCAGCACAATATGATGCACCTCAGCTTTTGAGCTAGGCGTCCAATTTTTTTTTTTTTTTTTTTTTCCTTTTTTTGTCTTTTTTTACTGACCGGTAACAGGATCGCAACCCTCAGTGTCGCGCCCATACCGGGGACCAGCAATGGGATTGCAACCCTCGGTGTTGCCCCCGCACCGCGCTCAGCCAGTGAGCGGGAACCGGTCGAGCTAGGCGTCCTATTTGCAAAGCATGCCTTGAATATGTATTCAGCTCCCTCTCTGAGTAACATGATGTGCTGCACGCAGCAGGATATACAAGGATATCTAAGAAGTATCATCTGCAATCCTCAAAACACTCAGCCCCAAAATAGTAGAGAAGAGAGGGGGACATGCAATGGAATTGGGTAGGATTGTGCCATTTTTCCAGTGTTCCTTAGAGAGTGAATATGGTCTTACGGGAGGTGGAGGACAAACTTCCATTGAGCATCTACAGGCACTCTGTATACATCTTCATCTCCATGGTAGCCACGTGAGGTAAATGGCTTAACCCATGTCTTACAGATGAGGAAATTGAAGATCAATAATTTAAAAGTCACTCCCTCAAAGTCATTCTGTCACTTGCATCAACATAACAGTGCCTGTCACATGATATGCACTTTGTGGATAATATTGAATGTTGAATAATCTTTCCGGGAAGCAGTTTTTAGCATACACCAAGAGCCTCTAAAATGCTTATGTCCTTTCATTTCTAGCAATTTCATTTCTAGAAAATATCAGAGATGTGATAAAGATTATGCATATGTGTGAGGCAGTGAGAATAGTGAAGAGGGCAGAGTGGAGAGAGCTGTAGAGGAGGTGATCTTTAGTTGTATAGGGTAAAAGTGATCGAGGAATCTAGACTAGACTCCCAGATTTCTGGCTGGATTAAGGAGCTGGGAAGATATTGGGATTATTCACTGAGCAGGGGACCCCAAAGAAAAAGCAGGTATCAAGGGAAAGATAATGGGGTCAGGTTTAGACATACTGAATTTGGGATGACTTTGGGTCATTCAGTTGAAGTTGTCCAGTAAGAAAAACATATAGGTCTGAAGCTCAGCAGCACAATCTAATGAAAGATAAAGGTTTGGTCATTGAAGTCATGAGCTAGATAAGATTGCCCCAGGGAGAGTCTGTAGATGCCAAAGAGAAGAGGATGAAGACAGAAGCCTAGAATTACAGTGGAAGCAAGAGGATCCCAGAGAGAAGAAAGTACATAAGCAGAAGATCTGAGTCAAAAGAAGAGAAAGATTAGAGATTTAGGGAATGGTCAACGTAATGAAATGGTGCACTCAGGGAATTTGTAATCCAGGTGAGAAGTCATTGCCTCTGCAGGTGGAGAAGTGAAGTAGGAGAGGAATTGCCCGTGATTGTACTCAATTAAGCACCCAAAAAGGATATAGACAGTACCTATGGAGTTGAAGGGAAGGAGAAAGTGGAAATGACCTGAAACTTGATAAAGTTGGTGAGACTTCACTGGGCCTTTAATGTGGGTAGAATTGAAACTGGGAGAGGTCATTTCAACTGAAGGAATGACATTTGTTCAAATTCATCCTCATGCCTGAAAATAATTGAAGGTAGGTTCCCTGTTGATAGTTGTCAGCAGTGTCATCTTTGTATAGGGAAGACAGCATTTATTTCCCTTTTAGTTATAACATTTGGCTCTCTTAATTATAACAACTATTGGCTAAACAGTATCATATAAAACAGACGTGGTGTTACCTGACGTTATGTACAAGATTAATTTCAAGGAAGTCATGACAAGAAAGCAGCATGGCTTATGTGTAGTGGGTTTATTCCAGAAATTCAGATGTGTATAACTTTTAGGAGATCATGTGGCTTAATTCCAATGGAAAAAGACAGGTCTTGGTTGCATACCCTCTTAGTTTTATGGCAGCTAATTCTGAAATCCCTTTTATTTATTGCAGCTATTCCGAGCTGTGAAGTTGCAGGTTCCTTGCCCCATCTTTTCCCATTCCTCTGATGACTAAGCTGTGGCTATATAGAAAGAAAGGGAGGAGATTTTCTTGTGCCCTTCCCCCACTCCCCTGTACCTTCCAGTCCCTTCTTCATCTTCTCATTCCATCCCATTGGTCTTTTTCTTCTAGAGAGCACTTACTTGCAGTGGCATGGGCAATAAATCTTAATTTACCAGGAGGAATACCTTGAGGACAGAAATGGTCCAGTATTACCTTGGGAAATAACCTGTCTAAACCTATCTCTATGCTAGTCTGCCCACAACTCTGTCATAGTGATTGCTTTCCCAGACCAACACCATATCTGCAAAGAGAAAAGTACAGAGTAAGGAAAAGTCATTGAAAAACCAGTTTCCTGTACTAGCCATGTCACTTCCGTAGTGATCTGATCTTGTGCAAGCTTTTTAATCTCTACTAGCCTCAGTCTTAGTAGAATTTTTGCAACAGTCAAATGAGATAATATTTGTGAAGGTTCTTTATGATTACAAAATGCTTGTCAAATGTTAGTGGTGGTAGACTATCATCATAGTCATGAGTATGATGTGAAAGCAAAGGGGGGAACTGAGATTTCTCCTCCTAAATCTATTCTGAAGACACAGACCTCCTATTCCTACCCTAGTGTTCAACCATGTTTCTCCAGACCTGCATCTCCTCTGCTCCCTGTTCACCTGTGCTGATTTATCTTGGTTCGTGTGCTGCTTGATGCAACTGGGTAACACCAAGTTAACCCCATTCTCCTTCCCTTAGTGTATGATTGAAGCCCTTGAAATTCACCCCTAAAGAAGAAAAATGGAAAACAATTCACTAAGTGCTTCCTCTAGGCCAGGCACTTTATTTGCCTGAGATCCTTTTCCACAAACCACAGACTGCTCCCATAGAGGAGAAATTAGGAAGCCCTTGCAGTTGAGACCAGTGGAAATTGCATTTCTATTAAAAGCTGTCTGTGGCTAGATGTATTCATCCCAGGTACAAAGTTAAATGATGTAATAAACTTATTCAAAGACATAAAGCTATTACATAAAATGCCATTAAATATACCCCACTCAATGTTAACTAAATTCAGCTATAAATTTCCTTTTGTTGTCATTTTGCAAGTTGCTAGTTCTCAGTGAGTTATGCCTATGTAAGTTCTTCACCTGTCGAATTTTGCTGCCCAGTTCTGGCAAATGAGATGTCAGGAATGCATGACCCTTAGAGATGGGATGGTTTTCAGCTTTCTCAGTGTCATCACTACTGAATTTAAAAATACCAAGTTCCTTCCAGGGCCAGTTTCTGTAACTGTTTTCCACCTGCTGGTTAAGTGTGGAGCTAAGGCTCCATATTTCACGTACTAAAGATCAGAGGCAAGGAGGCATAATCATCTAAGCCATGGCACCGGATTTAAGGTTGGGAGCCAACACATCTACTCTGAACTTTGAGGCTGATTTATAGCTGTCATGGAGCCATACGTTTAGAGGTATTGCTTACTTGCTGGTTAAAGGAATAAACTGGAGGGGAAGAGTTGAAAGGAATACAAAGCATTATATCTGGAAAAGTCTGTGGCCCCAGTTTTCCCATGGCATTCACCCAAACTACAGGTCAAAGGAAAGTGCACGTAAGATTCAGATATGTCTCATTGAACTTGCCTGATTCTGTGAATTTGTCAGGATTTTCATTTCCCTTTGTAAGCCAAGTCCTACATCTAGATGACCCCCGCCCTTTTGAGCCTCCCCAGACAGAATGCTGGCAGAATGGAAATGGCAGGTCGGTGATGTGAGTGCAGCGAGGCACTCAGGATTTGCCCAGGTCCTGCAGTCAGTGGTGTTCTCCCCACGTGTGAGTCAGTCACACCAACTTGGAAGCAATGTCGACTTGTTTCTAGACACCAGAGGCCTTTCTGTAACGCGTCCTGCCCTCCCCCTGCAGTGCGCTCACCCGGCGGGGGTCTGGTCGCCGCAGGTCAGCCAAGCCAGCCTCTGACAGAGCTCTTGCTCTCCTGCTTCCAGGAAACAGCATCCTCCACTCAGCCGCCGACAGCGTGACCAGCGCGGTACAGAAGGCCAGCCAGGCCCTGAACGAGCGTGGGGAGCGGCTGGGCCGGGCAGAGGAGAAGACGGAAGACATGAAGAACAGCGCCCAGCAGTTTGCAGAGACTGCACACAAGGTGGGCCAGCAGGGCAGGGTGCCGGCACTGGGCTGCGGAGAGCTTCACCAGCACAGCTCCCGGGATGGCAGAGACAAAACCAGGCTCTTGTGTGTGTGTGTGTATGTGTTTTGGTTTTGGGTTTTTTTGGGGTTTTTTTTTATCCCCCTCTAAACAGTCTCCATCTGCTCTTACTAAGCACCTGGGCCATGAAAACTTTCTTCTTGTGCCTGGTTTCTTTAGATACTTCCTTTCCGATGTTCTCATCCCTGTCTCTGGGGTCTTTAGGAAATATGGACCATCTTTAGTTCCTGACCAGAAGATGAGGGCTCAAGTTTCAGGGCACAGGATAAAGGAGAACAAAAGAGATCAGGTCTTAGAATACCTCCTCCCTGGGTGCATGAAAGAACCCCTGGAGGACTGCAGGCTGCTGCTTACTTTCTCGTGCTGAGTCGAGCTCCTCTGCTCTCGTGTCTTCCCCAGTCTCCAGGCAAGCTCTAGTCCCAGCGTACCTCAGGGCTAGTTTTTCCTCTGAGAGGCGCTGGTTGTTATTTCAGGCCCACTATTCTAGAATTGTAAGCTTGATCACCCAGTCTCCAGGCAAGCTCTAGTCCCAGCGTACCTCAGGGCTAGTTTTTCCTCTGAGAGGCACTGGTTGTTATTTCAGGCCCACTATTCTAGAATTGTAAGCTTGATCAGACTGGTGCAGAGCTGCCGGCAAGATTCCCTCCTGCCTATGCACACACACACACACTCACTAGGGGCTGTGCCTTTCAGAAGGGAAAAGGGGAGTTTTTATTGGCAGCCGGCTATCTAAGGCAGTCACAAACCAAAGGAAAGAGAGGCCCTGTTGGTCAGGTGATAAAGAGGATTTATTGCTGTTCTTGTGCTTCAGATCAAAGGGCAGCTCCTTTCTGGCTGGTGATTCGAATTTAGGTTTCCAGAAACTACTTCTGCTGATGACTTATGTGGGCATGTCAGACTCACGATCTGGCCCTTCAGATACACTTTCCAGTTGACCTTTGGGGGAAAAAAAATCAATATGCTTCAACAGAAAATCCCACTTCTTCTGAGGAAACAAGAATGGACAACCTAAAAGCCAAGAGAAAAATATCCCCAGCTGAGCTGAGGTAGCTTCTCCCAGAGGCTGACACCCAAGCCCACCTGGAGATCCTATTTGAGTGGATGCTTCCTGCATCCTCTTTCCACAGATCTGTCTGGCTGTGTCATTAATTCATTAATTCTCTATCGTGACAGGATCTTACTGCACTGCTGACTATGGGGCCCTTTCGGAGTTCCTTGGAGGAGAATTGGCCAGATCTTTCTGAAAATGCAGGCAGCCCCGCTAGAGGCCAGGGCCTCAGATTGCTGTGGTTGGTGCAGAGGTGTGAACTCATATTGAAGGTTTCTGTGGTCCCTTCCTCCCATCTCCAGTCTTTGTGATACAGAGATAACTGTCTTCCAGTCTGGGAGGGGTGATAGTGCAGGAAGCTGTCTTTCATGTCTTCCCAAATGGACTAGAACAATCAATAGTGCACTGATAAAATTCTGCTAAAACAAGAGTTTAGGTTCATGATTGAATCATGGATCAGGTTACTGAGGAAGATTGAGAAATCACTCTAAGGTGGAGTACACAGTACCGGGATGTCATCCTGTAGGCGTCCCTCTCAGGGGAGGTTATACAAACACAGGATTGGATAACCTAACCAGATGGCCCAATATTCTTGGCTCTGGTAGCCCGGTTTCCCTGTTATTATGGCCAAGTTTGCTAGGTAGTAGGGAAGGCTGTATGGTACAGGAGTTAACATCTTATGTGTGAATCCAGCTGTCATTTTCCATCTTGGTGACCTTGGGCAAGTGCTTAATTTCTCCAAAGCATGTTTCCTCATCAGTAAAATAGAACTAATTAACAGTACCTACCTCTTACGGTGTTGAGAGAATTGAATGCATTCAAAGCTATTAGCACAATATGTAGCATATATAAATCTAAATTACTAATATTTATTTCCACAAAAGTAGTTTCTGCTGAACCTGCCCTATTCAGTCATATAATGAGCACTGTAGAGGGGTTGAAAAATTACTGGTGATTGAGGATCCTTAATACAGGGATAGGGAAGGAATGGAGGTAAAGATTTTGTGCCTTCCAAACTCAAAGAAAAAGTGGGATAGGAGAGCCTCCTGCTAACTGTTGATGCTATCAAAGCACAGAGCAGCCCTTGGGACAGGACCTGGTGGAACAGAAACTGGTGAGGGTGCCAAAGGCAAAGGGGTCTCTGGCTTTCATCAGTGGGGTAATCCATCCCAGGCAGTTACCTGCTTTTAGTAGAGAGGGCTGAGGCAGGGGTAGCTTGTATCTGTTTTGGTTTCCCCTCCCGTAGGTGTTCTGGGGGATGGGGGAATACACTAGGGTCTGTTAGTGTGTGTGAGGGAGGGTGAGACAGTGTCATAGCTAGATTTGCAGATTTCTAAAGCTGGGATATGTGCTTATGAATCATCGGCATTGGCACTATTCCTAATGAGCAGATTGACCTCTTTAGAGAAGGTGTGGCTACTTTCCCAGGGACTAGGACTTGTGATTTGGACCCGCTAGCATAGGCTGACCATGAAGATGTCATTTCACTGGCCAAGCACCAGCCAGGCCTGCTGGTGAGGGGAAAGCTCAGAGATGGAACCCAGACCTTCTGCCCCCCAGACACGTGTGGCTCTGTTGACTCATAAAGAGTCGGCTGTGTTTACAAGTGGAGGCACAGTGCACATGGTGAAACCTGAGCAAGGAATGGCAGTTCCAGGTGACAGTTCTCTAAGTTCCTGGCTAAAGGGCACCCAACCCCAGCTAGAGAGTACAGCACACCTTTCTAGACTGAAGAAGAAAAGGATTCTTTGGCCTTCTAACTTTTCCCAGGGCTCCTGCAATTACTCAGGTACAAGAGTGATTGGATCTCTTTAGCACAACCCTGCCTTTAACCAGCTACAATACTAGGCTGGTTTGGGGGGAGGGGGGATGTTTTGTTTGGTTTTTGTAGCTGGCTGGTTTGGCGATCCGAACCCATGACCTAGGTGTTATAAGGCTGAACTCTAACCAAATGAGTAACCAGCCAGCCTCCAACCCTGCCTTTAAGATATGTGGGTGCTTGTCCTCTTCAGAGCAGATGGAAAATGATCCTTCCCTCCTCTCCCCAGCACCCCCTAACCTCCGGTTAGCCTGGCTGGAGGAAGTGTGGTTCCTTCCTGAGCTGCAGGCTTGGCGCAGTCCCAAGCCTTAGGAAAGTGCAGCTCAGCCACAGAAGCAGGACTGCCACTTTCCACTGCCCCAAAAAGCACTGCGTTGCAGTGTGTGCAGCGCTTTGACAGCCCCGCCACCTGTGGCAAGTCAACAGGCAAGAGCATTGCCCACACCTAGGCATTCTCAGATGACATTTCTGCAGAAAGAACATTTGTCTGCCCTGTTTTGCACAAGCCTCCATTTGTGGGGAAAGCAGGGGTGAGTGGCACTTTTCTTCTTGCTGGGAGGGAATGACTATCTCCATACTACAGTCAGCTGTTTCCCTTGGGTCTTGGCCAGAAGGGACCTCAAGAGCTCAGGCCTCTTCAAGTAATGACTTTTTCATTATCATTCTCTAGGTGGAGTAGGTTACATAGTATTGAAAGAGAAAGATTTCCATGAGATATTAAGTGAACAAAATATATGAAAAGGAAATTTTAAACTCCTAGAGCAACTCTGACACCTAAATTAACCCATAAGCATTTAGAGTTGGAGACTGTTTTATAGACATATGAGAAAGCTGAGGTGTGGAGCAGCCGTGACTTAAGAGCTCAAGGTCATACAGCAAATTGGTAACAGCAGGTGTCCTGACCTCCTTCAATCGAGCACTCATTCTGCTGTACATCCTGCCTTCCATATTCTAAAGTTCCTAATTTCCAGAGAATTAAAAAAACTAGAATGACCCCTCTTTCTGCAGAAATACCTATCTTAGTTCATTTAGGCTGCTGTAACAATGTACCATAGACTAGGTGGCTTATAAACAACAAACATTTATTTTGCACCATTCTGGAGGCTGGGAAATTCAAGATCAAGGCACTGGCAGATTCAGTGTCTGGTAAGAGCCCACTTCGGGTTCATAGATGGTACCTTCTTGCCATGTCCTCACATGGTGGAATGAGTGAGGTGTCTCCAGCCTCTTTATAAGGACACTGATCCCTCCAAAAGGCCCCACTTTCTAATACCATTACCTTGGGGGTTAGGTTTCAACATCTGAATTTGGGGGAACCAAATATTCAGACAGTAGCATACCTTGAATCAGAATGTCCAATTAAGTTGAATTTCTACAAAGCCGAGAGGGTCACGGCCCAGGGGCTCCCCTTAGCTCCATTCCAGGCACACTGTCGTGGTAACCAGGGTCTGGTTGGAGCAGCAGCACAATCACTGCTGAAGATTAATGGCTGTGGCTGAATTGGCGCAAGCTTGTCAGTTGCAAGTTAACAGGTCAGTGATTACCAGGGCAGCTGCACTGATCAAGTGTTTATGGTTGATATTTATTATGCACAACACTTAACAGCTCTGTGTTAATTTGATGGTCCATGTTGCTAAATAATTTATAAAAATCACAGGCAGAGCCAAAAGTAGAGGCCATATGGTAGAGGTGCTCAGAGTATGTCCAGGGAGTGGGACAGATCCAAGGTAGAACCCTGGCTCTGCCATTTTTACTGACCTTGTCTCCTGGACTATAAACTTCAAGGTCTGGAGTTATTAGTCACTTATACCTTTCTTGGTAAAAAAAAAAAAAAAACCCAAAGCACTCAGCATGGTAGCCAGGACACACTGAGTACTTGACAGGCACTGTGTCTGACGGGGCTGACTGAGGCATCAGCACTGCAGGAGGTCTGTGGAGGTCTTCACTGGCATCTCCAGACATAGGTACCAGGAGCTCTTTCAGCTGAGGTTGCCCAAGCAGAGATTAACTTAGCAATGTGATGTCTGAGTCCACAGGTCCCCTCTCCATCACATGCAGACCTGGCCGGGAGCATTGCCTGTGAGGGACATGTTGGTACTGCTGTTGCTGGTTGCCTGGCTGAGGTGGCAGCCCCTGTTTATAACTTCTTTGTGGATGACATCAAGAAGAGAAAGGGAAGACTCTGATTGCCCTGGGCTTTGCTAGAGAAATGGGCTCTTTCCATCTTCCAGGATGATGCAGAGCCTTCCTGGGTGGAATCAGTGGGATCTACCTTACTAATTTTTATAAGGCACAGAGGCTGGTCATGGTGCAGATGACAGGGCTTTCTACAGAGTCATTGCCCACAGAGCCACCTGTTTGCTCGAAGGAATTCTGAGCCACAGACCCACCCCCCAGTCACTTGCAGCCCACCCATAGGGATTAATCCCTAACATCAGCCTCAGGACACACGAGGAATTACATACAGTTCAGCCTCTGCTCTGCCTTCTGGTTCACATCAGTGTATGGGCTCCTTGGAAAAGATCTGGCTAAGAAGAGCGAAGACAGATTAATTTTATGTTCTGTACCTGCATATCATTACCTAAATAAACCCTCATGGGTTCCACTTGAGCTTGAGAAGCTATTGAATGATACAGTAGTATTTGGTGTTCCCATTTCTAAAGATCTGACACTTTAGGAGACCACATTTCTCAAAAACCAATAGGAGTAGTAAATCAAGGTCTGGATTTGGTCTATTGTTTGGCCCTAGTCAATAACACAATGTAATTGTCAAGTGCTTTGGACTTGGTTGAATGTCTACTCTAATATTGAGTAGATTATTACACACTGTCTCTCTACAAGCTATTGATTTTTCATACTTCATGAGACTTTAGTAAATACATTTCTGGAGTGTTGCTTTTTCTGGATAACTAGTAACCTGAGAACCCCAGCTGTTCCTAGGGTAAGTCACTCATTCTGCCCGTGCATTGGTTTTCCCACTTGTTCCTTCGGTGGATGAAAGAACACCACACAGCACTCTTCCCCGCCTGGACACACATACACCAACAGAACTGCCATAGGGAAGAGTAACAGATGCAGTGTTCAAGCAACTATTTGGGAAAATGCTGCACATTTACTAGGTGCCACTGTAAGTGCTAATGGCCCCCTGCCACAGGGAGTGGAATCTTGGTGCTGCTTCTCACTGTGGATGTGGGGAGCAGCACAGTGAAATCTTCCTGCTGATAAAGTCTTTCTCTTCTCATCCCTCTCTCTCCTTAGCTTGCCATGAAGCACAAATGTTGAGAAGCTGCCTATTCTGGTGACCCTCTTAAGAGAAATGGAAGAGTTCATTCAGCAGTTTTTACAAGAATTCCAAGCCTCTGCTTGCTTCTTTTTTTTCCAGTATATGGACATTTAGGGTTTTTTTGTTTTTTATTTTCAGATGATAATATGAAAGAAAAAAATGTTGTGTTTATACATTTCCCTAATGATCTTGCTAAGAAATGCTACAATAGCATCAGCTTCATTGTGGTTTGGTTTTCTCATGTGTGTATATATGTGTTTATGTTC